AAGATTTATTTCCGCGAAGATATCGCGAACTTGGAGAAACATTGGAGCAAGTGCGTTGAACTTCGGAAGGACTAAAAATAAACTATATTTCGTCGAAAATTATATAGAGAGAGAGACATATATATATATATATATATATATATGTAAGGATTATACGATCGAAGTAAAACGATTTGATCAAAAGTAAAAAAAAAGAAAATTATATTCGATCCCCTTTTCCATTGTCTCTTCATAACTTCGATTCAACTACGCAGTGTATTTTTTATTCGATATTGTATAATTGTTTAAAGCGCAGCATCAGAATCATATTTGTCGTGTCGTTAATAATTCGAGATACGTCGACACGATTAAGATGACACATAACCATTGCTTCATAAATTCCTAAACACAGAATGATCGTTTTTAAATAGTACAACTAGTGTGCAGTTATTTCGTGCGACAACTTTGAAGAATTTCTCGTCGATCGACTCTTCGCTTTTTTATCCTTGCGATTTTCGCAGATTTAAAAAGTATGTTGCATTAACTTGTGAACCCCACTGATTCCCCAATGAGATTATATCAATATTCTTTTTAACAATATCATGAAATTAATTACAATAAATTATTAGGTAGTAAATACTTGCGTAAGAAAAACCAATTTGAAACAAGTAAAAGAAGAGTAGTTGATTTCTTAATTTTATTTGGCCAATTATAACGCTACGATTAAATACATATGATTGATTCATCATTCAATAATTGTAAAAAATTAATATCTGAAATACTGTCGTAAATCTTTCTTAAAATTTTTCCTAAAGTAAATCCCAGCGCGAACGAAACCAAAGTCGATCGTATTCTGCCAATCGATTTGATGAATTCTCTCTCTCTCTCTCTCTCTCTCTCTCTCTCTCTCTCTCTCTCTCTCTCTCTCTCTCTCTTTTGGTGAACTTTGTCGCGTCCGAAAGTCGCGACGGAATGGCGCCTGCAGGCATATCCACAAATATCGCGCGTCAGCACCCGATCGAAGGGAAGAATAATTGCGGAAAATCGCGAACGATATGATTCCGTCTTTCGAGATTATTGCTGAATCAGCAGCAGTAGCAGCAGCAGCAAAAATCGAAATCGGTAAGGACCGAATGGAAAAAGGAAAGGAACTGAATAGGATCGTCGGAGATCGATAACGATCTTCGTCGGACTTGTTGACGAAAGTCGGCGTGTCGGGCGCGATATACCTTTGTCGCTAATGTCTTATCTCATAGATGAATGGTAAGAGGATGATCGAGGATGGATCCGTATCCTCGGCGGGTATCCTCGAAATGATAGAGTTCCTTTTATTCGGCGCGATCGCATCCGCGAAGCGGGTAAAGTAACCCCTCTTCATCATTTTTATTATAATTATTATTAATATTATCATTATTATCATAATATCGTAATTATTATTATTAACATGTATATAAAAATAATGAATGCTGTATATGAATATTCATTTACTGATGTCTTAAATTTCATTAACGTGTGTATTATACTTTTAATGTATATACTTTTATTGAATTTGATATACATGTTCATTACTTTTAATACATGGACTATGTGTGTATACACACACATATTATTTCACGCATATCGCAGTGTTAGCTAAGAAAGTCACTGATTCAAGCGTATATGTATAATATTTTCGTGTAATGTATTAAACTGATTCTACAATGAGTCGGTAGTTGGATATATCTTTAAGTCTTAATCAGTCTTAATCTAAATAGAAATAGATGACTACGACTTTTCGCATCTACAAGTTGTTAATTATAATATATAACGAATCGTTTAGCTCGACTAATGGGAAGGAATAAGGTCAAATTTGGACAGTGTTAAGAAAATCGGTATAGTCTTAAGCTAGCGATACACAATGTTTGTTTTCTCGCTGAATTGCTAGCTGGATTAGACCTTTGTCACTGTAATTGGCTGCGGTGCCAATACGGCAACAAGGGTCTAATCCAGCAGCAATCCAACGAGAACATTTAGTCATACATAAGTACATACGAGTCGGCTGTTGGCCAACTTTATCGTGATTCATCGATAAGAGTTATGTAAGACTGCCGACTATTGCCTCATATATGTATATATAGTAGAATCAGCATTATACATACATTGATGTATTTATATTCTTATGTTCACAATATGCGTTAATAAACGTTGCACTTTCCACAGTAATCACAACCTCGATATATAATATGGTATAAGCGCATGTCCACCGACCTTGCCCTTGGCAGAAAGCGTCAAAATTTAATGAACATGTACATTAAAGTTTACTTAATTTACAGTGAATTGAAATATTATTTTTTTCCGTATATTAAAAATATATTAATCCTCAGTACTCACAGGGTTAGCGTAATCCCTCCCTCCCTCCGATTTTCATAGTTCAGACATTCGAACACGCTTTGAGCAGTGGCGCTGAAGCTGGGGGAGGGTGGAGGGAAAACTTATGTACCACCTCTATAATTTCTTTGCTTGACGACATTAATGCGCCATTAGCTACCTACTATACGGAGTTGTAATGGTACAAAAAGTGTGTGTCATCAGGGTTACTCTAACCTTTCGTGGGTATAACGTTAGAAAATCCGGACTTACGATATTGCAAAGTTGAAATGTAAATAGAAGTGATTAATTGAATTATTTATGATTTGTATCATGAATGCATATCATAAAAAATGGTTTATAGTAAGTCAATTTTATTGTGTTTTTAACGTAAAAAAAAGTTGACTTCTAATTGAAACTAGTTGACTTCGTGCGCTTTGTGCATAGGTGCCAAATTTTAGAACATTCTAAATAAAATGAGGAGTTTTCTTTAATAGAAAATAATAAATATTCTTTTAACTGTTTATGTGTCTTTGTATTTTTCGTCAGAAATCATGTTAGAAATAAGATCCCGGGTGAAACAGGCGGAAGAGAACAAATGTTCGAGAAAACCAAAGAAAATTTTGAATATTTTATTATACAAAATATAATATTTTTATAATATATATATGTATATATATAAAGAACTTGTGTGTATATATTTGAGTATATTTTATCGAAAATGTAAAAAAAATAATGTAATATTTTTTTCTTTTAAAGTAGCCATTTTTTGTTAATAATTTTATTAATCATTATTGTAATTATTAATATCATAGTAAATTGTTAATTAAATTGTTAATATTATTATAGAAGAGAGAGAACGATAGAAGCATTTTTTTATTTATTTCTATCACAATTCAAAGATTTTCGGTTTATGATTAGTTTCAATACAAATCACTCATATTTACTTCGCAAAAAAATATTGTTTTTAGGACAAATTGCAAAAACGTTTTTAGTTTTTTAACGTTCATTAGCTGTTGGTTCATCATTAATAAAATCTTTTTTCACATTTATTTTTGACAAAATTATGACATTTTGAAAAAAAATTTGTTTTTTTCACATTTTTTTCCAATTCCTTTTCACTTATTGTAAAATATCTTTTGTGCTACATTTTCGATTTTCAAACTGAAATATTCTTTTTTTTCCAGTCTTTAAACGGCAAATTAAAAAAAATATTTTGATGTAGGTAGATAGGGACTTTTTTGAAATGTGGGTACTGAGGGTTAAATTTCAATACACTTATATATTTTAATTTACTTAAATTTAATTTCATTAACATATACATTAAATATTGTTTCAATTACGAGTAATCAATTCGGTGATACATATATATATATATATATACAGATATATATATCTATATTTATACACACTACGCTATATACACTACTTACGGAAATTAAAGCATCATTTCTCATCTTCGAAAAATGAGTAAACTTTAAATGAATGTAACTTCTACAAAAATAGTTAAAATGAAACATTTAAAAAGCATTTTGTAACTTAAAATCCCTATTTTTCAGATTTGTACTTAAAATAATGATTCGGCTGATTGTTACGGAGCTATACACGATCATAAAGGCAGATTCGTAAAATCTCAAAATTGTTTGTGAATTTTGCAGCTTTATGTCGTAAGTGAGAAGTCAGACAAATACAATTTACAGTTTTCAAAAGCGTGAACCTTTATTTTTAATTTGGTTTTTATTGACTCTTGTACGATTTTTTTTGTACGAACTTTTTTAACGAATGCTGTACGTTACTCCGTTCGTCTTTTATGAGTAGTCAAAATCAAAGGGACCATTTGACTTAAATGTTGAATAATTCGGTGAAAAAAATTGTACAGAGGTCAATAAAGAAGCAAATTAAAGGTAAAGATTCACGTTTTTGAAAGCTGTAAATTGTATTTGTGCCGACTTCTCATTCACAACATAAAACTGTGCAAAATTCACAAAAAATTTCGAGATTTTACGGATCTTCCTTTGTAATCGTGTGTAGCTTCATAACAATCAATCAAAAAAATCGTTATTTTAAGTACAAATCCGAAAAGTAGAGATTTTAAGCTACAAATGTTTTTTAAACGTCCCATTTTGACCATGTTTGTAGAAGTTACACTTATTTAAAGTTTACCCATTTTTCGAAGATGAGAGGTGCTTTAATTTCCGCGAGTAGCGTATGTTTTTCCTATATATTTAAATATTATGTGTCGCTGTTATAACGAATTTTCCTTTTCTTTTCACGAACTTTTTGCTTCTTTGTATACAATAACCATTTGTTTCTGTATTTCTCATCTCTTCTAACTTTTCTCGAACAATCTTAATTAACGAAGATGGACGAAGGAAAGCGCGATGCACGATATCTCGTCTTATCAATCAGCTGCGGTTAGTTGTGAGATTTTAATAGGATCAGTTTTAGTTCCGTTTGTCTAATAAAATCTCCGACTTAGACTAATTGTAAGATCTAAGATAGATTTAAGACGTAAAATCCATTAAGATCTGTGTATTTTCAATTTAATTTCACATTCGCCGAAACTTAATATATAAATTAACGTTCCTTAAAACAACGCACTATTGCGAAAAAAAGCATAACAATGAAATTATATGTCAATTATATTAAACAATAATATAAAATAATAATGCATAAATGAAATAATGATCGAGAAATCAGCGGAATTTTGCATACGTTAATTGTCATGCGCAACCTTCATCCATGTGAAATATGGAGACCGAGCTGGTTCGGCGTGGATCCCCTCAACTTCCCCTATTCGATCCGAAAAAGAAAAAAAAACACTACGAAGGATAACAGGAAAGTTCCGTGGTCGTCGCGACGGCTCTCTTCGTCGTTCCCGCTCGGATCAAAACGTTTCCTGCTTCCGATCATCCGCTGTCGTCCTTCCTTCTCTCCCACGTTGAATTCCAAGGCCGACGATCGATCGATTGATTCTCGCGCGCGATCGATCCGACGATTACGTTCGCGGAGAACTTCGGCAGAGCTCGTCAACGGCTCATCACAATTTCCATCTTGCGAGATCTTCTATCCCTCCAAAAATCATCTCCTCTTCGGGAATTTCTCAGCCGCCGTTTCTTCTTCTCTTTCTTATTCCTCCTCTTTTTCTTTATCTCTCTTTTTATTGTTGTTGAATAGGTGTTACGTTATTTTACTTTAGCTCTTACTCTCGCGTTCAATTTTGTGTATTGCTGCCGCCGGTGAGGCTCGCTGAAAACAATAATAACATTTGTTCTCCTCCACCGATTAAGGGACGACAATTCGCCCCATGTTGCTCTTAATCTTTGTCTCTTCAAATTTTTTAATTTGTTTCTTTCTGTTCTCCTCCTTTTTTTTTTATTTGTTTTCCTTCCTCTTTATTTCGCCATCTTTCGCATGCGGAGATTCATGGCGGATCGCACTCGTCGTGGACAAGCGTTTAAATTTACAGCATCAAGATCAAGATTATAAAGAACACAAGTTTATATGTTTGTTTTAGTAATTTCGAAATGTTCTCAATGAAAAATATGATTTTATTGACGCTATTATATCCACGACGATGCGTTTGGTAAACTAAACTCATTGACGTTCGCAGCTCAAAGCACATAATCCATTAGCCATAAGGATAAGGAAGAATTGCATGCAAGTAGTTACAGAAGCGTAAATACGTATATAGATACACAGGCCACTCGATACACACGATACATAAACTTTCTCCTGTGAAAATAATTGGCAAAATAAATTTTTTGCCAGAAGTTCCGTCCAGAGTTTGTCTTTTTTCCTTTTTCCATTGTACGCGACAAAATTTGTCGCAGTTTACTGGAAATTCTGGCTGAATCTCTGGCTGAAATTGTTCGCATTAAAAGAACTTTTGACACATTCCACATAATGTACAAGCCATGCAACGCTATGCCGACATCGGCTTTTAATCGAGGGATAAATTAAATCGATGGCACATGCTCCGCAATAACAGGTCAAGCACGATACGCGAAGATCGTCCCAGAAACTTTTGCTATAATTCGCCTTTATATAATATTGGAATGTATAAGATTATTAAAATATGCATACCCTGATAATATTTACAGTGTATGAGTTTCGCGTTGTACTAAGAATGTTATTTAAGAGAAAAAAAGAGGATGAATGATGGGAGAGAAAGAGAGAGAAGAAGAGAAACATGCAGAATGTAATAAGTACTAATTCACTGTATGCAAAAAATGAAATATATAAATTGATATAATAATATTATTAATCTCGTATATAATATACATATGTATATTATATACGAGATTAATAACAGAGATTTTAATTTAATCTTGAATTAAAATATATTTATATATAAATGTAATATATCATCTTTATGCGTTTAACTATGAAGAGAAAATACATTTTATGAAATCCAACTAAATTATATAATTATACAGGATTATTTAAAAATGTATATAAAGATGAATAAATAAATGAAATAAATAAATGTAAGAGAAATTGCTAATTGAAGAAGATTTAAATTGCATTTTGGCGTAAGAAGAGAGAAAAAGACAGAATATCGGGTGCAACAATAAAATCATAGCTTACCGTACCGAAGAGTAGAATAGGATTAAACAGAAACTTTGTAGTTGTTTGATAATTCTTACTGTTGTCGATATTGTGCTTGTTGTTGATGTTGTCGTTTATCGTTGTGGTGTTTTCATTTCTTGGTGGTATTTTGTATCGTTTCTTTATTGCCACCGCGGAGTTCGCGAATCACGGTGTTTAAAGCTGTATGTTCAGCCTGTTTCACGTGTGTTACACTTTTTCGGTATCTTTGTTAATTGACCACCAGAAAATTGAAAATCACTGCCTGGGACCAACTTCAGAAAGAGGATACCACCAAAAGTACAGACAGACACATAACAACGATTACAGTCGTAATACACACAAAGGGTGAGGTATAATCGTGTCTTGGAAAACATTCCTTTTTAAAAATGTATCGGTATTTGTTAAAGAAACCGATAGTTTTTTTTCAAAATTAATTTACACAATACATTTAAGGTTCACCATCTATAATTCGTATTAGAATTCAAGATAATGGTCTCATAACTTCATCATATGTCATGTAATGTAAAAATCAATTTAGTATAAACGTCAAAACTATAAACAGTTCTATTTGGAAATCTGACGCGAATTATAGATCGTCTAAAGTAGGCTAGTCAATATCTGGCGTTGAAACTGTTAAAATTATTATAGAATGATTTTCTTGTGCGTCGCTTTTTCCGTCTTATGGACTTTGAAGAGACGCTCAAAACGTCGGATCAAATGCTGAGAAAATTCCTAGCAAGAAGATAAACGACGGCAAGTTTTACGTACTGTTTACACTTAATGTTGTGTTGTGATAAGAAAAAGGTGTCTGGAAGGATGTCGTCGAAGATTTATGAAGGTTCGCGGTGTACCGCCATATAGCGATTCTTAATTGGAACGCTCCCAATTAAATCGGTAGTTCATAAATATGCAACGACACTGGGCAGTGATGGAGAGTTCTTACGTAGGGAATATACGTAGCAACAGATAGAGCAAGTACCTATCACAGGCAGACATAATGTATAATACATAAACACCGACTAAAAATGCCAGTTTTATAAAAGCGCGGATGCATTTGCATGTTTTTTTTTTTTGCAAAATTAGTGGAAAGAGATTATCATAAACTACTATAACGAAATGTTATAGTAGTAATGCGATTAGTATATCACAATTAACATACTAATTAATATAATCATAGTTTATAACAAAATACGTCTATGAGAATAATAATAATTTTAACGATTAAATTTGTTATTTTTTTTAAGCAAAATATCCGGTGAATTCTTTATAAAACTGGCAACATTTGGTAAAACAACGTTTGTGAAAATTAAAGACAATTTTGAAGTATCAGGACGAAGGAAGTTTTTACGTGTTGGAAAATAAACAACGAGAATGGGATTGGAGAAACATACCGGGTTCAGGTATACATTTTCTACGACACAAGTAAAAAAGAGAAACGGGGTGAGAAACAACAACGATACGCAATGTCGCAATTGTTTTGCTTTCTACCTTCAGACTCACTCACACACAAATATCTTCCACCAATCAGCGCGCCTACATGAAGTTTGCTAGACGGGAAAAGAGAAATACATACATTTCACACGTGTTAGATGATGAATGAACAAAAGGAAGACAGAGTAATGCTACTTTTTCCGACAGATCACGCTACATAGTGGCGTTTTTCTCGTGCATCTCATATCCCGTCCGCGCGATAAAGACGTGGTTTTGCAATAAAAAGTATACTCTCATTTTTTGGTCGTAAATAAATACAGCAGAATAATATTGTTAGAAAATATGTAGAATTTTTGTAAAGTTTGAAGTTAAAATTCTGGAATATACAGAGAAAAAAGAGATGCTCGCGAGTATGATATTTTCGGTAAAGTTTTGTGAAGATGAACTATGAGGCCAAGTAATCGACGTAATTTTCAGGCAAAGCACGATAAACAGTTCGTTTCGGCACATTTCTTCGAGAAGCTTCAAGAGATCTCTCCGAAAGGATTTTTCAAAAGCTATATGCAAATCCGCGGACATTTCACTTCACATCGCGTCGTTTTTCGCATCGTGCAAACACAATCGTCTGTACGTAGTAGACGTTTCCTTAGCACAAAAGGTATAGATCGACAGAAAGACATTAGATAGGAACGACTGATTCAATGTAATACAATGATCAAAGCCATAAATTCTAAACGACAGTTTATACAATAAAAACTCTGATATTTATCAGCATCGCGAATACGAATTTGAAAATAAATATTAATTTCTATGATTTGTTTAAGTAAACGGTCGACACTTTTACCGTGTTCGAATGGATGATGAAACAAAGGAAGTAACGCTGAATTAGTCGCTTGAAATCGGGACGAGATATACATCGATGAGATGGCATAGAACATTTAAACAGTGGCAGTGTCGACAACGTTAAACATTAGTGTATTAGTGAAACACTTACCGATAATAATGGCCAGTATGATGAGTCCGATTACACCCATAATGATCATCATCTGTTTAAAAAAAAACAAACCGAAAAATTATTATTGATATTAAGATTCCGAGTATTGTCAGAAGTATTTCTTTCATGATATTTGACACTCACCTTTAGATTCTGTAGCCAGAACTTTCTCTTTAATTTGCCGGCTTGCTGTTCAAATTGTGACGCTCCTTGTTGGAGTGCATCTGCAAAAGCCAATTACGTAGGAGTTATCTCACAATCAGATATGTCTATGTATAACTTCGAGAAAAAAGAATTCTCAAAATGAGAATTGTTTTCTAATATTGATAATCGATAAAGGCAGTGTACAATGAAAAAATAAATTAAATTGTAATAGATATTTATTCTAACAATATTAACTAAATATTTATTAAATGTCAACGTATATTTATTTCGTACAAAAACCATTGATTTGATTTAACTACGTTTTATTGAGTACATATTTATTTATTGTAAATAAATATTTAAAGTTAGTACTGTTAACAAAAATATGTATTAGTAAATTATTTTTATCATAATACCTTTATCTGAGAAGAAAAAGAATGCGAAAAATATTTTGTCAATAAGAATACAAAATAATGTTTTTTAGTGTGAAAATATATGTTTACTTAAATAATAAATGTACGTGTAAGAAAAGATCGACGTTCATCAGCCACATAACGTGGCATCGATTCGAGCATGTCAGTAATCGATATCAACGTGTAGTCAGACGCGCAGGGTCGGACTACTTTATTGCCACGGTACCATGAATGGAAGGTGTAGTTTTCCGTACGACCGTATTTTCTGTTTAGTGCTTTTACTCAGTACTGCGATATATTGATCGTGAATAATAATATAATATAATATTGCATCGCGTGATGTGTATGCAATACAATTCGTGACATGAATCCGTATTATAATATAATTATATCTTTTTAAAAGTTGCTTTGATATTCCCTTATGCGGAGATACAGCAGCGTATATTTTCGCTCTTCTAAGACATTAATTAATTTCTCGACGTGCAACAAACGATATTCATCATGAATAAGTAAGTACCTGAAGCAGAACAATCAAGTGACGTATATAATAATTAATGAATAAGTCAGCGTTAATGAGCGCGCGCGCGCGCGCGGGCAAATGCAGGGTGCACAATGGAGCAAGATGCATAATTACAAAATAAAGTACACACAATTTGGCAAAATAGAACGTAATTTTGGGATTAAGTGTAATCGACTACTTGAAAATTTTCAACTTTGATCAAAACGAGCTCCGTCGATTCTTTTAACGCAGAATTTTTAACTGCGTGCGAAAAGTAGATCTCACCTGCTCGATCGTCAAGCTCGGAGAGCTTTTGATCGCGCTCGAGGACCTTCTCTACATTTGTCTTCATAATGTCGACGACTTCGTCGACTTGCGCTTGCGTCGCCTGCAGCCGCTTCTGCGAGGCAATTTGCTGGGGCGTCCTGGGACCACCGACGATGCCGTCGGTGCCAGCGCCTGGACCTGCAGCTGCATCCGGTGCTAAACCGCCCTCCGTAGCCCTGCGAACAAAGACGCGATTTCAAGAAGATGACGACTAGCGTTATCATAATGTGCGTTATCATTACGATACAACCGGGGGTTAAACAAACGCGATCCTTTACGAATACACCACTTCCCGGGAATGTTGGTTATTGGTATAACATCGACAAAATTTAATGTCTTAGAATAATAAAGCACAACAAAAAATAAAATAGAATAATCATGTACGCTGAGAAAATTGGCTGACTGAAAATGGATGAAGCAGAAGATTTTGATTATATCAATCAGAATTTTGATTATCTTAACTAGAATAATTCTAGTAGACTTACGTTTATTTCAATGCAGATTAATCTTAATCTCAGTTTAACTTATTCGTCATCTTATTCTAATTCTTAGAACTAGAAGATGAAGAGTTAGTTGAATCCAGATTAAACTACATTGAGACAGAAATAAGTATTAATAATGAAAAAATTCTGATTTATTAGTTTTTCACATTTGTTTTTCAGTGTCATTATATTTTCGAAAGTTGAATGTTGATAGATAAGGGTTGATAGAGGGTGAATATCTTTAGGCCGCCCGTATAACACACCGTCGAAACCGTACATTTATCAAATACGCGTATTTATCATTGATATACGCTTGTATTTTGCGGTTCGTGCACGGCGTGGGATTTATTTGTATATCCCCTCTGTACGCGCGTGCGTCTCTCTTCGATAGATTTAAAAAGTGAAATAAACACGCGGGTGGGTGTTGCTCATCCCGGGACGCGCAAACCGGGAATTATACTCCGTCGTTGCCCTATGGTGCTGGATGCTGCGTGAGGTTTCCCCATATCGAGCCGCGGGTGGAAAGCATCGCGAAAGGGCAAAGTTCATGACACAATTTCGCCATTTGTATACCGTTTAATTGGAAAAACTTGATGCGTATTAACTTCGACAACGCGCTTTTCCTCCCATTTGTTTCTTAAGAAGATTCAACGACACGACGATGATGCAAATAGTACATTGTCCCCGGGCACATCGCATTCATGATTAAAACGTGTTTGCTGGATAAGCGGATACGGAAAGAGGAAAGGTCATTGATAATGTCGACTACTCGTGTGACCCCAGGAGGTTGTAATTCAGAACGCACGTGCACCTACGCACGCGAATGTTGGAAGTCGAACGATCGCGATCGTTATGAAGGAATTCATAAACGTTTCATTAAGATCTTGAATGAGTATCTATGCGTTTGCTAAAACTTTAGGATACGTTTAATCGAAAAAATTTTAAATATTTCTTTTTTCTTTATACGTGTTTATTTTAAACATTATTTACGAGAAAAAAAAAGCACTTTGCAACAATACTCTCTATATTGCGTAAAACTGTTTTAAATAGGATTAGACACACGGACCTCGTCATCTATTCTATAATGGAAATATTTTGAAATTATATATTAGGAAATTATGTATGTGATATACTTTTAATTATAATCGTCGAAAATATTTAACTGATTAACTTTAATTTCCACCAATAAAGATTAACTTTAATCTTGGTTTAACTTACTGTTTATCTTTTTCTAATTTTTAGAACTAGAAAAAGACAAAGATTAAATTGATCCGAGATTAAAGTTAATCTGCGTTGGTGGAAATGGGCATAAAAGATTTCTTCTTACACATTACGTGTTAATTTGAAACATCAATTGTTGTGCAGTAAAACTTTTAAATAGGGACCTTTTCATCTACTATACATGGATTAGACCTTTTCATCTATACTATATATGGAAATGTCTTGGGTGGGAAATTATGTATATGTTATGGATATCCACATTTGTAAATCCCTTTTCTATAGGATTTCCGACGAGCTATCTGACCTTTGCAAAGAGACAGAGCGAGACCTTTTGCGGTACTGCTGCGAGCAATGCCAATTTAATTACTCAACAACTTATGTAGCGGGGTAATTAGATCTTCTCGACATGCCATTATCCTATATTCTTCATTATGTAAAATCTTCTCTCGTTAAATGTATTCTTTATATCAATTAATTGGACGAAAACAAAAGCTGTAATTTACAACAATACGATCGATAAGGATAGAATTGTCAAATGTTGTTGTAAGCTATCAATTAATTAGCTAAATAAAGTTAGGAAAAAAAATTATGTAAGCACATCGTAATAAAACCGATGGATCTATATTAATGCTTGCGGAAAAAGCTCTGCGTGCTTATCTATACCTATGTAATGTATTGTTGCGGTGAGTACACGTAACGTAAATCGCAGAGGATTATGTGTTCGTGGATTACGATTTGGAAAAATGCCGGCTACGCGCGACGGCGGATTGAAAAGCGGTCGCCAACGGGTTGCGGGTTTTATTTTTGGCCTAGCGATCGAACGACCGAGTGGCAACAGCCGATCGATCGACTATTCGAATACCGTCGGTGGGAATAGTTTAACATACGGGAGAGTCGTACATGCTTCTCCTCCATCGTTCCTATTGAGATGTCGGACGCGACGTCGGAATATTCGGTCGTCGCCGTCCGGCATCTGTCGCGAAATTTCGACGCGATTCCAGTAATATATTTTATGAGATTAATCGATAAAAACAGTAATTAATACCGTTACTTGTAATCTCTCATCTATCGATTATATTTAGTAATTATTCTAAATTTATATCATTATTGTGTTTAAATGTTTGCGATATTTCCGTATATTAATACAATTGGATTAAATAAATAAATAACTCAATATAGGCTACGAGTATAAGCTAAGATGTAAGTTGCTTTAATATAAACAATAAGTAAAGTACAAAATCAAACGTTTCTACTCTTATCGGATCATCATCAGTGTATGTAAACGTAGATACAGTTAAAATCTTGATTCAATGTATGAATATATAATGAAATAATCTCACATGGGAGAAAAACCTTCTATTTAGAACCGGTAAAAAACAAAGAGACATTCTCACAACTAAATGGTATTAAAAATAGAGATAAGAGTTTCCTCTCACTCTCCTTATCATGCGAAGGTGACGATCGTTATTCAATTTGATTTATTCATCGAATACTTCTCCGATACGGTTCGAATATTTTTTCATTATTGTTGATTGTTTCAATATATTTACTTATCGCGAGATTGATAAAAGGATTTGTTTCTAAAAATACGAATAAATTTTTTGATTTACTGAAATGTTTTTCTGATGTAATATGAAAATTCTTGCTGCTATTGTTTATTTTATAATATAGCTGTTTGACATGTATTGAAATACATATATTATTCGATCGCCGTAGCTATGAATTGTGTGCATAAAAGCCGAGAAATATTCACCCCATGACGTAAAATCGGATACATAATGGGATTAATATATCGATCGCTGATACTGCTTCTTGTTATTAGATTAGTATAACTCGCGCTGAACGGTGAATATTTATGGGATTTGTATTATACTGCGTAGAACAGTAAGCTTAAGATTTTTTATACTTGGCTTTTTATTTACTTTTACGCTGAGGAAATTTAATACCATTGAAGACAAGAAATTTAAAATAAATAAAGGAAGTAAGATGTATAAAAAAAACGCAAAATGCATGAAAATGCATAAAATTAACATAGCAAATTTTTATCACAAATTACTTATTCTAAAAATCGTCGAGATATTAATTCGGTACAAAAATGTTATCACCTCAGTAGTTCTTTTTATATAATTCAGGAAGTGTTGAGAGGAAGCAGTTATTCTCTATTAAATCGGAGCTTTCAAGGACAAAATTGTATAGTCGGTATATTGTAGTTTGCCGCTGCCGCCGCCCCAAGGATTTACTGCGTCAACTCTGATCGAACAATCGGGCGAACAGTTCATTGTTCGCCACCCGGATTGCAACGCGTGTATAAGTTACGTACGAACGCGCACCTTTCCGTCTAGCAAAGCCGTGGAACATTGCCGTAAATGTGCTCATCATTGATTATCTAAATATAGAAACTGCGAGCGGACATGTAGTAGCAGTGCATCGCGTTTCGCGCGATTGATCCCGACTAAACACACACACACACACACATTTGTATGTGTACGTATATGATCACAATTAGGCATCCGACGATCACGTCGAGTGCGCGAAATGCGCAAAGAACGCGCGTCAGTCGCGATCGCGTTGATTATCTTTAATCGCGTTCATTATTCAATGAACAAAGAAATTCGCCGGATAAGAAGAAGCTTGATAACGCTCGATATCGCGTTCTAATCTCCCCCGCAATTCGCATCGCGACTGTAAAGCAAGCCGAAATTATCATGTGTCCTTTGAAAAGATCCATAGTTATTTGCCAACGACGTGTAGGCGTCGCGTCGTAACGATAGACGACACTTAAATCATTCTGCTTGAGTCACCCCTCCATCAAGATTGTCCAAGATCGCGAAATATTTGAGCAGATAACAACGATGCTTATAAATACGTCGCCTACGATTGGCTGAATGAGTATATTGCGTATATAATCGAGCTAGGTGGATGGAAACCGGATGCGAAAGGTCATAATGAGAAAAGTTAGAAAGAGAAATAGAAAGCTATAACAGTCTGCGTTCAAAAGCGAGATTAATTAAGGTAGTTATATCGTACTACGCTATCCGATTACCGTGTCTAGTTTTCTCTATTGCCGCCATTAATAAATAATTAAATGAACCCATCAGAATGTAAAATAATTAACGCAAAAGTCAATGACAAATCTGAAACACGAACACTAAAAAAAAAAGCGTTTGGTATTTGTGACTAGAATTGCATGGTAAAATGATTGTAATTAGGAACTTCATTTATATGGCTATTACTGCTGTAATGTAGTAATAATATCATATAAGTAGTTCTTTCAAACATTAAAAAATTGTACTATAAATTATGATGATTTCAAATATTAATATAGTAAAAATTTAATATATAAATGATAAATAAAATAAACATTTTTATCTAGTAAATACAATTGCAATTATAAATATAGTCATTTTTTAAAATTTACTTACTATTTATATGGTAACAATGACTAAAAAATATGTTTCGAAAGAATTAAAAATTTGTGTGTGTGCAAGCTGTATATTTAATTATTATTAACAATACAATTGAATATACAATTTGCATGGTTAAAATTATTTATAGTTGTTTCAAAGAATGACTATAAATTGCAGTTAAATTATGACAATTGCAATCATTTTTTTTTCTCAGAAGTAACATAACCGATAGAAATACGGAAAAATTCTCAGACGACGTGCCCGTTTCGTCAATACTTTTTCCATCGCTTACTCTATTCTTTGGATAACAAATTCGCGTCGGATAGGGTCAGTGCATTACGGTTATCCCTCAAGAGGGTCGAAGAGTCGTGGCGGTAGTAGGCCGCGTTTCGATTAATTTCTCTCGAATGCGAGTCCTACGTGTCGGGCCTCGAAGCTCCGTTGCATTCTATCGGAAATTCTGTCGTGTGCCGCGGACGGACGCGGGTCGTGCGAGGAGGATCGATTGGCGGCGACAAGCCTCGGCAATTGCGTCTTAAAACGCATCTTACTAACGCGCCGCAGCGACAGCGATTCTCGCCCTCTTCATATCGAGTTGCCGCGGGCTCCTTACGCGATTCTTACGCGGTTTTGCGCACTCATACCCGCAAAATTCCATCGATCGCCGCACCTTCTCACCGAACTGCTTTTCGCAGCTGAATCGCGGCCGAGTGCAATAGAGTACGGCAATACAGTCACCGTTCTCTAATCGCTCATTGATCTAGTTATGCGTCACAGTCTTGTAGTGTAGAGGCTCCCCTTAAAGAGACACAGTTACGTTAATGCTTTCAACTCGTTTACGGAATGGCCATGCACGGAATTCACTATCGATGCAGCTCCACGACACAATCGCCATTTGTATCATTTTATAGGCGCGAAGCGAAAGCCAGAAATATATTGTCCCGATTTCGGTCGCGAGGCTTTTCATCAGCGAGTACGTTTCAGCGGGTAACGCATCCGGAAATCGCAGCGCGAAGTCTAACACAAAGTTGATGTGCATCACCTTCATTATTCCTTTTAACGGGACTTCACAACTATGTCGCCTTTAGAGATTGTTCGTTCATCAAAATTGGTTGAAAGGAAGACTCGCTGTTCCGTTTTCACGGGTCGGATGGTCGAAGAGCTTCCTCCTCGCGACGTCCTCGCGGAGGACCTTCGGATTTCTACCGGAGTTCTCGTTCGGGATCCCCTTCCGGAACGCGAGTGTGCGAGGTCCGTATTATTATCACGTGTACTCACATGCTGCTTATAGTCGATCGCCTCGGGCTCTTTCTGTTCCGGTAATCCTCGTCGATTTGTCGATCGGCTTGCTCGGCGACAACCCCGATCGGTCGTTCGGCGTTCGACGCGTAACTTTTCGCGAGCGACTGCCAGCGAGACTAGATGGCCGCCGCGGTATTGATAAAATTTCCAGGAGGCACGCCGCCGTGAGATATCGTCGCGCACGCGTACGACCGAGCGATATATCTCGATGGTTCACCTTCGAATTTTGATTTTCACCTCCGCGTTCGTGGTAATGCGTTTTATTCACGTTTCTACGCCTCGACCGCCCGTGAAAGCATCCTCGATCGCGCGATAGATCGATTTCCCGCGTAAGACACCCGGGGATCGGTAAACGTGGGGAAAGCGCTTTCGAATGCACGGCGGTCACACGGAAAGTCGATCTCTCGAGACTGCAGGGTCGACGGACGACACGCCAACCTCGCCGATTGCGCACGTGCACCTGACTTTGGTCGATAAATGGTCGCGATGTCGCCTCGCAACCCCCATGCGCGATTCTCTCTCTCTCTCTCTCTCTCTCTCTCTCTCTCTCTCTCTCTCTCTCTCTGTTTTACTTCGATAAATACCCCGAAATTGTTCCATTCGAAACGACACACGTAACTTATCCGTTTAATTGTGCGGTCGATTTCACTAATTTTGTGAGAGGAGTAATGGAAGCAATCGCGTTTCAACGAGCGTGGAATAATTGTGGAATCCTCGTTTCTGCATGGCAAAGTACATTTAAATATCTCGCTACACGTCTACACATTAATGATTCTAATCTGAAAATTAATTTCGATTGTACGTCGTTAGATAAATCTATAAAGAAATTTCTTATACGCTTCTTCGCGACTTCACGTGTCATACAGATTAATTAACCATGAATAAAATTTTAATTGTTTATAAAAGTTTAAACTATTTTGTGAAATCTACATTTGATAAATCTACATATCGCGGATAACAATAACTTTTTATTTTATTTAATTTCGTGTTGGTGCACACGCGATTGGGATCGCAGGGATCGCACCCCGCTTTTGGCAAGACGGAATATCGTATCTTTGCATACGTTCCTGTAACGACGCGGTGCGAATACGCGCACAGGCATCCGCAAGATGTTTTATTTATGCCATTGTCGCGATATTCGTCGTGAGTCATGTCTAAGTCATGTCGGTGTCACGGTGAACAACGGCATGGCGTCGAAGATGCTTTATTTGCGTCACTGCTCGTACGTCCGATCATGGCAGCTCGTAGTGGTGAGTAAGGTTTTACGAGAGCTTTTACCTTCTTCAGCGAGAGACGGCTGCTCGTGTCGTTATTGCGACGTTTAGACAGAGTTTGACGAAAAGCCTATCAAAATTATTCGGAACCAACTCGATTCTCTTTGAAATGTGTTGTTGAATACAAAAATTTAAGAAATACGTATTATTTTATGTCGACCCACTTTTTTTGATTTAATGGATGAAGCAATCCCTCAAAATTAATAGAGACAAGAGTCTTAAGAGATATTTTCAAAAAATCTAAATATACAATTATAAAGTATATATATGTACATAAAAAATTATAAAAGTTTTGTCGAAAATATTTTCTGTGCATCTCACCGTTTCACTTATAATTGATAGAAATTAAATACAAGTATTAGCTTTAAGGGATTGTTTCATCCCTTCAACATGAGATTGAATCGATATAAAAAAAATATATGCTTCTTAGATTTTTGATTTAACAACATATTTTAAGGAGAATTGAATTGATTCGACAGTTGCGACAGATTCCTTATGATTTTCGTTTTAGATACACACTTTTCGCAAAAATTCTACAACACAATTCAATATCAAAATACAACACAAAAGAGAAAGTTAAAATGACTTTATTTTAACTCATAAAAGTCAAAATTATGATTTTTAGTTACAAAATTTGACTGTTTATTGTGTTTCTTGTAAAGTGTGAAACACAGAAATCATATAATAATAAAATTATAAAGATATTATCGTGACCTTATTTGCTCTTATGAGTTCATTTTTAGTATCAAATGACGTCATGATGACGTCTTATGATATCATTATGACTTAATTATGGTTTTGTGTTTTACCTGAGAAGCTGAAGTTATTTTTTGTCATTTCGACATCAACTTTAATCCATGATGTCATCTGACGTTTAATCTATAAAATTCAGAGTCAACTCTCTTTTTAATATCTATTATCATCAAATACTATATTTTAATTCGATAAATGTTGCTGACAAATATCAAAGCTTTCTTTTTGCTTTTTTCATTCCAATAAGCTGCTTTATTTATCATATCGTATCTTTCATAGTTTATTATATAATTTTTATAAAATTATTTTTTTTTACTTCTGCCTTTTTTGCTATTTTATTTTTTCACATTATTCTATTATTATCAGATTTTATACGTATAACGATAGCATTGTTAAAATTTTTGTCTGTTGTACATATATCTTTTGCATATGTTGGTCTTATAAAATTACATTTTTACCTATGATAAAGTTATTATATATGCACACACTATTATTATTAACTTTACTTTTTGCTGAAATATCATGATTATATGGTTATTATTTATAATCAAGTAAATTTTTTGAAATAGAGTCTAGCCCCAATTCAATTTAACGTTATTAATAGAAATAACTGATAATGTGTAAAATGCTTTTTTGTTTAGTATTCTTTTATTTAGTATCGATTTATATACGTCAGGTATATGATGGATCTAGACTGAGCAGAATAAAGACTTGTTTCGACAAAAATTTGCTTCATCGCTGTACCGTTCAGCCATGTTCGTCCGCGCTTTATTGTTCGCTCAATCTATTTTTTATAATCTGAATCTATTTTTATTAGGAGGAATATTTTAGATATATGTATACATATAGGTATACTACAAAGTTTAAAAAATTCATTTAAAATCCGTGAAAAAAAATATATATAGATTTAATATAATTAAATATAAATTTTATTAAAATTTAATATAATACTTATTAACAATTCCAATAAATGTGGTTTTATTAAAACCTTATATAGATTTAATTTGGACCATATAATGATCCATATTAAGTTATTAATTCAACTTATTAAGACCTTATTAAAACTTATTAAAACTTGTTAAGACCATATTAAAA